CACTCATCCCACAATAGGACTCTAAGTCCCATACATATTCTAGTTCATCCAAGATTAACCTAGTCTTACATGAACTAATATTCTTACTCATATATTCACTTACTTAAAGAGGCCAATCCTCTCATTATTCATTCATTATAACCCATACTTTAGCTCTCAAAGTTTTTGCTCTCAAGAATTGCTGCCTCTCCTACCAAAAGCTTAGTTCTTACTAACTTTACCACCCTTACCTCTGTAAAGTTGTGCTTTAGCTGTATGATAGTCTTGCCCTAGCGCACCATATGGTAAACCCTTTCCCACTCTGAGCCCTCACTACAACACTTTCAACTGTGCTATTGGAGCGTTGGAGTTAGGGGTGTGCAAATCCAGATATCTTATCCATAGGGTTTTTCCTAATCCGATCGAATTTTTGGATCAGGCTTATCCTGATCCGAATCCGATCCGAATTATGCGGATATCTGAATTTACGGATATCCGAAATTGTCCAAATTTTAAAATTTTCTTATTAAAATCAAATAATTCTAGAAATAAATTGAAATTATAATTCCCTTACAATTACATAATAAAGTATCTAAAAAAATTAACATGAAGCACAAAACATTTAACTTAGTTGTCCAAACACCGTCACAGATGCATCTTCAATTCTTCATTGCCAGTCCTACTCGCCTCACACATGGTTTCTTGTTACCAGATTGACCATTATATCTGCACTTTCTGGTTGACACTGACTGTGATTTTGAGCCACTAACACCAGCAGATTTGGACCAACATGCCATCAAACCGCGCAGCAGGAAGAACATAAAAATATGAAATTGTTGGGCATAAGGCTCCGCCTGATGTGTCAAATTATTCAAACAACTAGCTGAATTGACCAACTGCCTAAATTGCTATGCTTCTTCAATCAGATGGCTTTGTCTCCCTTAACTACTCTTCACATCCTCCTTACAAAACAAAACAAACAAATAAACCATTTCAATAAACACTTTAAGATTAACAACAAAATCAATATACTGAAAATGAAAATATGCTCAATAAACCAATTAAGCAACATGCATTTGGAATGCTCCCTAACTTTGACTTCCATCATATACTAAACTTGATCACACCAACAAGCAAGCAATACCATGACTCAGAAATACTCTATACTAAAACAATCAAAAAGCATTATTTAACTTTTATCCACCAGAGTTAATATGTCATTGACAGCACTTGAAGCAAGTGCTAGAAAGATCAGCCCAACATGCTTAGAGAACACAGAAGACAAAACAGCAACATGAGGCTACAATTCAAAATGCTCCCTAACTTTGACTTCCAATCATATGGATATAATGTAATACTCCCTAAGTTCTCCTTCACAGGCTTTTAGCACCAGTCTACATCCTGTAGAGCAAATCATAATGTAATTAGCTCTCTGACTGCAAAGTAAAAAGAAGCTTCCCAATTAAATCAGATGAGCAGAACTACAGTGTAAACCACGGAGGAAACAGGTTGGTATATGCAACCAAAAGTCATTTCCAGCAAACAATGAAATTAATGTTATACTTTGATTGGTTCTGGAAATTACATAAAGGAGAGAATTCACAAGCACCTCAGTTCAAGATATTCAAGTAAATCAATGGCAAGAGCTACAAAAGGGCCTCAGTGGTGTTGATGTAACCCAAGGTAAATTTAGAAGCACCAAAATGTAGGGATATAGCTTTCTACTTATATACTTTAAGGCAAAAATTGGATCTCATATTATTATTGCCATTAACAGAATTATTTGAATTGCTAGATATCAGTCAACTTACTGGTTATATACCAAGTCAGCAAGCAATTTTCCTACTAAGATGCAAATAAACTTTTGGCATTTATTTGATGTGCGAGGTAACAATGAATGAAATTCTACAGAACTAGATGCTCAGTACAAACACTGAAGTTTTAGAAGTTGTTGGCTATAAGACATTCAGGTGTCTTTTTCAGACAATAAAAATGATGGAATAGCTAGATTTGATAGTGAATACCCATAGATGAATTCATATATAAACACCTAAATTTCTAATTGATTTGAAGAATAATGTTACCCTCTTACTTTTCACCCACTATGCAACATATACCATTAAGTATTTGAAAAAGTGATCAGGAGATGGAGCACCAAGCTATTGCCACTTGATCTAATTCCCCAAATCCACCAATGAATAAAACCCTATGGGAGCTAAGACACGTTAACATTCAGTTAAACTTCGAACAATCAGAAACACAACATAAGAGAAACATCAATGAAATGCAATGCAAAGAAAATAATGGAATTAATGCTACACCCAAGCAAAATAAAATATCACAAGGACTAAAAAAGCACAGTCATGACATGAACAAAATTCAGCAACCTCTAAATTCTAAAGAAATTAACTTACGATCGATTTGGGGCTTCAATCGTCAGAGAGACTGAGATCGACAGAGTTGAGCGAGAGAGATGGCCGCTGTGCGTGTTCGAGAGAGAGAGAACCGAGAGAGTTGAGCGAGAGAGACTGAGATCTGAGTCTGAGAGTTTAGTGGCTGACTAACTGTGTGCTGTCTGTATCTGTGCGTTGTTAGAGCGAAAGAGACCAAGAGAGTTGAGCGAGAGAGAGTGAGAGACTGAGTTGAGATCTAGTCTGAGAGTTTGAGTGACTGTGTGTGAGACTGTAAGGTCTGTGCGACTGTGCGTGACTTCGTGTTCCAGCGAGAGAGACTGAGAGTGAGAGAGACAGAGCGTGTGGAGTCTTTGCGACTGTGAATGACTGCATGTTCTAGGCTTCCAGCGAGAGAGACTGAGACGAGTAAGAGAGACAGAGAGTTGAGTAATTGAGTTAATTGTGTTAGACTTAGGGTTATTGTTACACTCAAAACGACGTAGTTTAGTAAAATCCGGATCGGATTCGGATATCTAATTTTTTAACATTTTCGATCCGGTATCCGATCCGAATATTCGGCTTTTTTAAAATAACGATCCGTATCCGATCCGAATTTTCGGATATCGGATTTTTTTGCACAGCCCTAGTTGGAGTACCTACGACAGACACCACATTGGTGTCCCCCGACCTTCACGTTCGTTCCTTCTCTCTTTATAAGTCCACATGATTGTCAATGGCTCATTCCTCACAAGATCTACCTTTTCCGAATCAACCGTAGATTTTACCGTCTACAAACTAAGGCTAGTTTTTGTAGCATGGGAGTTATGGGAGCAAAATAAGGCATTCCTAACTAAAGGATTCTTGTTATCAATTAGAGTAAACAGGCCACCTATAATTGGAGCTTTGACAGTATAAGAACCATGGTTCTTGCCCTGCCCTTATACAATACAAAATAAAAGAATTACAATTAGAAAGTTCCACGGCTGAATAAAATATTGTATGCTTAATATGTTTTGCATTTGCGTGAAAAGAAGCATATGAAAAGGATCATTTACTGTAAATGGATACTGTATTATAACCCTTCCCGTCGAATGTAAGCAATCTTGCAAAATAATTCTTTGGTTAAATACCAAATCATGCCACTCAAACGATCAAATCAAAGTTGCAAATCTAGAACTAGTACAAAGCTTTCTTTATAACAATAATTATTTCTTAAATTACCCTCTCATATATTTCGCTAGTAAGCAAAATGAAACAATGAAAAGGTTGGCAGAGAGAGTTTGGTTTGGAACATAGATGAACTCGTTTGGTTGGCGAAATAACACTTAATGACTAATTTAAAAAAAAAAAAATTAAAAATTTATATTTTCAGAAGATCTGAATTCTTTGATTTAAAGATTACATGCCATTGGGTTTATAAAGAGTTTCAAAATTTAGAAAGGGAAGTTTAAAAATGGGAAATTTAGGAATAAAAAAATTATATAATTCTAGAGTATTCTTTTACTAAATTAAATGATTAATAGGACTTACTAAGAATTGTTATAAGACTTAAATAACACTACTCAGTATCCTATTGTCTCATCATCATTTGTGCTTCTCCATTGAAGCCTTTGCGTTTGACAGTGGACTTTAAAGATACTCGTTGATATACTATCTGTTTGGACTCGTGAACTGAGTTAATCTATAGCCAATCCAATCCTTTGGAGAAATCTTCCAACTTAAGTATGCTAGCCACAGTCCCGTTGGACAACTCGTAATAGATTACATGAAAAAAAAAAAAAAAAAAAATTCATAACAATGGCTGTGGTGGATAAAAAAAGGCAAACCTTGAACAGAGAAGTGCTTTCACCTTTCGGCATTATTGTGAGGCCATGAGTTAGATATGCTTCCATGACAAGACTACTTATGGATGAACCACTACCAATACTCGTCTCCTGAAATATCCCGTGAAAATCCCCTCTGCCGTGTACAATAAATCACATGCGCATCTAACATCTAACTCAAGTGCCACCAATCATCCTCTTAATTGGCAATTAGACATATAACATTTTTACCTAGACAATCCAGGAAACCCATCTTCTTATTTCCACAAATAATGTTAGAGGTTATATAATCGTCAATCATTCGCAACAAAACATTTTGTTAAATTGTAATTGAAGTGATAATTTGGTAAATGATATATCAATATCATCATGATAATACGTCATTTGGGGTGATTTTTTTAGAATAACTTTTCGAATGTGTAGCATTACTCAAATCCCAGACCTCAATGCTTACCTATTTGTATTTAAAAGCTAGGACTTTTGGTTCTTGTAAATCTAATTTGATGTATTACTTCTAATAGTTTCAGGTTGTATTATTGATATTGGTTCAAAATTTTGTAGAAGGGAGTGGAAACAGCAAGGATAAATTCATTGAGGGTACTAAATTATTGGTTTGGCTTGCATAGGACCAAAAGAGTCATGCCCTGAATTTGAACCTATCTAAGCAAAATAGTTACTTAACCATGCTAAACAGGTCAACAATTAAATCAGCAGAAATGTATTTGGATATATATATATATATATATATATATATATGTATGAACATAAAATATATATATATATATATATGTATGAACATAAAATCTTGCAAACACTCCCACCATTGTCTGGAAAAATAAATAACATGGAAAGTTTGGGACAATTATATTCAAAGTGTTTATTATTTAGAATGCGAAACGGAAACTCTAAAACAAGAAAAAATGAATTTCGAGGAATATAGACGTGAACGAAAATTAAGCAGCAGCCTTGAGCTTTTTAGCAATGCCAGCAAAATACTTTCCCTGATGAAAAGCTTGCTCTAGTTCGAGCTCAGAAGGCTGTCTTGACCCATCCCCGGCAAAAGTTCCAGACCCGTAGGGGCTGCCACCCTTCACTTTCTCCATCTCAAACATTCCTGCTCCAAATGTGTATCCAATGGGCACAAATAGCATTCCATGGTGAACAAGCTGAGTTATGGCGGTCAAGCTGCATAAATGAAACTCAAATATTTAGAGAAATTCTTAACAAGATACAAAAATTTATATGGAGAAACCAAGGGGAAACTCACGGGGTAGTCTCTTGTCCACCTCCTTGTGATCCAGTGCTGTAGAAAATTCCAGCAGGTTTGCCAGCAAGCTGTTGAGTTCTCCATAGACCTCCAGTTGCATCCATAAATGCCTTGAATTGTGCTGCCATCATCCCAAATCTAGTGGGGAAACCCAGAAGAACCCCATCAGCCTCGACAAGATCATTAGGTGAAATGATAGGTACATCATTCTTTGGTGGTGCACCCATCTTTCCAAGAACGTCCTCTGGTAGCGTTTCAGGTACCTGTCAAGCACCAATTGTAAAATCACATATTTTCATCTATGGAGCACATCATCTAACATAAATGGCACGGTGGGTATTACATACAGACCTGCCATAGTTTTACTTCTACTCCTTCCACCGATGCAGCTCCTTTCTTTATCTCTTCGGCCAGTTTCGCAACATGTCCATACATTGAATAATAACTGTTCCAGACACCCAATTTTTTTACATTATTACTTTGATACTGATGAAATACTGTGAAATTCGATTACTACTACATAATTCAAGCAGATATTAACTATGCTCTGAGTGTTGTATCATTGAAATTATGATGTATCAATGCATTATCATGGAAGGAAAAATATATTATGTACAAATTTACTATTGCTTCAACAGTTCAACTATATAAACCAATTTAATACAAGTTATGGTTTCTAGATGGAAAGGTGAAATGGCACAACATTTAGATCTTAAAGTAGTGAAGTGAAAATGAAAGGCACTTATAATATTAGTGAATAAAAAATGATATACAATGAACTAGTCTCAACAATGATGAATGATGGGACCAGCGTTTAAAAAAAGCTTGAGATAGCCTTTCACTCTCAATTATTTCAATTTCAAAAAGTAGGTCATGTTTCACAATCACTTTTTCAAGGTTTGGGAAAATTTGACACCAGAATTCATATAAGCTTTCTATTCTTTCTCAATTATACATGAGGTAATATGAATTACAGCTAAAGTATATATCAATTTTCCATACACCGAAAAGCATTAATTGACTCCTACAAAATTTGGACCAAGAAACATAAAAATTCAATGAAAGAGGCCTTCCCCAATTAGCAAGAACAAAAAGAGAGACAAAATACCATATAAGCATAGCATTTATTGAGGCCACAATTTTCAGGATCTGATGATATCCACTTATCTATGTTCTATGGTTCTATCTAGCTTCTATATATTATTATTATTATTATTATTTCTATCTCCATAGCATTGAATTATATCTTAGCCTTCAATGTAATCAAGCACAGATCGACAATTTTTTTACTGTTAAAACAAACATAAAGCTTTTATGTACATGAAAACATACAGTTATTCCAGATTTTGTTAAACACAAGTATCACTATTTCTCAAGTTTCCAGACAAAGAATGAAGCATCATCATAATCCTTAACCCCACAAGATTTATCAGAGAAAAATTTCAGGATAAGTTTCATCAAAAGAAAACTAAAGAGCCCCGGTCTGAATTGAGAATAGCATTCTATTGAAATCAACTACAACAGATACATTAAATGAGATGCAAAAACCAAATAAAATTGAATCTGATATCATAACAAAATGCGTATTCATCCGTAACTCTGCAAAAATAAAATATCCTGTTTTGTTTCAATTCTTATAGGATCTTATAAACTAACCAATCATAATTATAAACAAAATGAAGAACACAGTTGGCTTATGCAAAATTATTTCAGATCAAAGAAAACAAAGTATTAAACGTGATCATAAAAACCCTTTTAAAAACAAAAGAAGAACAGAACAATGAGAAATATTTAAAGCAAAACTTACACGACATAGACTTTAACTGCCATGGATAGAAAGTGCTTTGCTTTTTTCTTTTCTTTCTGTATTGTGTTTGGGAGGAAGAAGAAGAAAGTGTGAAAGTGAATGAAAGGTAAATGGAGAGTGGAGGGGACCTTACTTATAATAGTGTCATTTCAGTTTTGTTGATTTGTTGAGAGATTAATGGTCAATTGCATCATTAGTGGACTTATTTACCATTTTTTTTTTTTTTTTTTTTTTTAAACATTGATGTCACTCCCATCATCATTTTCTTATTAACTTCTTCACTAATATGATTAGTGTTGTTTATATTTTCATACTTTGCATAACTTTATTTTGGCCCCATAAATAAATGTTACAAACAATGAATGAAAATCATAAATTAATTTGATATCTACTAAAAAAATGATGGGTTATTCTTATTTTAAAAGAAAACTATTAGAACAATATCGAACAGGTCAACAGCTTCTCCTTCTAGATCCATATTTCATGGCCATGGCCCCATGTAGACTGTAGTCATGTATATATATTGATGAATCTTATCGCGTATTCAATGGTCCAGATCCTTGACTTTTTTTTTATATTCTCACAGGTCAATCTGTTTCAATAACTTCAGAATGCAAATATAGACTTCAAAGATACCTGGCATCTTGTTACCTAATATTATAACTGTTAATATAGAAATATGTACCAACCAGAAAATTCTAATCAACCTTGATGGAATCAGAATGGATGTNAAAATGAAGAACACAGTTGGCTTATGCAAAATTATTTCAGATCAAAGAAAACAAAGTATTAAACGTGATCATAAAAACCCTTTTAAAAACAAAAGAAGAACAGAACAATGAGAAATATTTAAAGCAAAACTTACACGACATAGACTTTAACTGCCATGGATAGAAAGTGTTTTGCTTTTTTTTTTTTTCTTTGTGTATTGTGTTTGGGAGGAAGAAGAAGAAAGTGTGAAAGTGAATGAAAGGTAAATGGAGAGTGGAGGGGACCTTACTTATAATAGTGTCATTTCAGTTTTGTTGATTTGTTGAGAGATTAATGGTCAATTGCATCATTAGTGGACTTATTTACCATTTTTTTTTTTTTTTTTTTTTTTAAACATTGATGTCACTCCCATCATCATTTTCTTATTAACTTCTTCACTAATATGATTAGTGTTGTTTATATTTTCATACTTTGCATAACTTTATTTTGGCCCCATAAATAAATGTTACAAACAATGAATGAAAATCATAAATTAATTTGATATCTACTAAAAAAATGATGGGTTATTCTTATTTTAAAAGAAAACTATTAGAACAATATCGAACAGGTCAACAGCTTCTCCTTCTAGATCCATATTTCATGGCCATGGCCCCATGTAGACTGTAGTCATGTATATATATTGATGAATCTTATCGCGTATTCAATGGTCCAGATCCTTGACTTTTTTTTTATATTCTCACAGGTCAATCTGTTTCAATAACTTCAGAATGCAAATATAGACTTCAAAGATACCTGGCATCTTGTTACCTAATATTATAACTGTTAATATAGAAATATGTACCAACCAGAAAATTCTAATCAACCTTGATGGAATCAGAATGGATGTGCATGTGATTACGGGTAATTAGCGATAGACAAATACTGAGTGCAATAAAATAGAAGACAATGAAAATTTTTATAGTGATTCGACGAAGTAAAATATTGAGCCTACGTCTACTGTTTTTTTTTTTTTTTTTTTTTTTTTTTGTTGAGAGCTTACAATGAGAATTTTATGTGAAAGTCGTTACCCATTTTTCATTGTTTGAGATGGTTTATATACAATGTCTGTACAAAGAAAAAAGCGAAAATAAAGGGATTACAATTTATCTGAACTACAGTTCCGATATTCTCGAGATGGGGCGTTGTGATTGCGCAGAGATTGATGTTGATTTAGTTATTCCTGTAATATCTGGGATTTGAAGCTATATAAGAATTGATTGAATGATCATTCAGATTGCTCGTGACTAGTTTATGTTGGGTCGAGCTATGTGCTGACGAGCTTATGCTGGGTCGGACAACCGGTGGAGTTGGACTGATCCTAGGTCGAGCTACATCCTCGCGGTAGTCCGAGCTTGGTGGAAAAATCGCACACAACAATAACATTATACATGTCTTTAATTTTTATTGTCAATATTTTTGATTAAATATGCATAACAAAACACGTTCTCATATATAGCATGTAAAGTTGATTTATTTTAATTTTTTTTCACAAATTAAGTTTCATAACTAAATATTCAGTGCTAAAGGATGACTTCTTCAATTATATAGAAGTAAATTTGACATATATTATATGGACTCTTTCATGTATAACACCTAACCATTATGTTTATTATTGACACACTTTAAATAAAAAATGCAGGCGGCCAAGGTATTTATATTAATTTTGCATCATTCTTACACTATTCATATACACATACATTGAATCATATCCTGCCTTGTCGTAAAACCAAAAGGAATAATAACTCTGCAAATGTCCAGAAGAATGTTTAAGAGAAACGACTAAATCGTGTGTGAAATGGAGATAGCATCAATACCCTTTGTCTTAAAGCGTGCTTCTAATCTTAATACCAAACATTCACGCCTTGTATTTCATCCCATTCACGCATATATGTTTCTATTTTTATTAACATTCCCATTATTAGTGTCTCCAACTTTGCCTATAAATTTGCCATGATGCTGATAATACTTTCAACTTGTTTATATGTAAAATGGGGATGATGACACCATTTTTATTACTACCTTTCGGGGAAACAATTTTATTATTTCCAAATCCTCTTTTGTTCGAGCTTTACCAAACCTCCAACTCCAAAAGCTTTGTACTTTCTTCTTCGTTTGAAATATTAATGGGTAATGTTAAAAAGAGTACATAAAATGAAATAAATCATATTATTAATTTGCAAAATGGTGGTCATAATATTAATAGACACGCTCAAGCACATCCTGGATTTGGACCCACAAGCTAATTACTAGAAGAAATGGCTTTTGCTGCACGAATGCTCTTAGATGGTGGCCCCGCCCCCTACCCGTTTCATCATAATCTATTCCAACTCAGAATTGCTTGTTAAGAGACCAAATGTCTAATCAGAAATTTCTTTTTGGTCTAAAAACCTGAAGCTTCTACTCCACAATCATCAATCATGGCATTAAAATTGGCGTTTATGGTGGTTGGTGTTGGGCATTATGGGAGCATTGTTGCTCTTGATGGGTTCACCACTACGAATCGCATTTGTTAATTTTGCATTTTTTTCTAAATATGGGACCTGGGTCAACTGCCAGCAATGCCCCAGTCAAAGAGGTGATGTTGAAGTGCACTACTAATCAATTTTTATTTTTTATTTGTTTCACCCAATTGAAGGAATAATCATGATTACCAAATCAGAAACCTAAATTCCATTCTGTCTTTGGATTTAGAAATCTATATTCAATTTCAGATCATGAACCATACCAATTAGATAGTTTGGGTCAAGGGTCTAAACTAAATCATGGGCTCTGAAATGGGTTAATTTTGAGAGCTTGAACAGTACTAGGCCCCTTTACCATGAGGGGGATCAATAAAACTAACGAAAGACAACACCAGCAACTGAACTGAGCCCATCTTCTTAATCCCACATAACAGTATCCCAGCAAAAGTTCATTTCCTTCTTCATGAAATGCCCAACTTATTGATTTACTGAAGATGGACTAACAACTTATACTTTATGCATTTAAGTACAAATCATTCAAGATTAGTAAATACTTTAATTAAACATGGTTTTGTTATCCAAAATCAAACAATAGATAAAATCATAATTTCATTACACCGAGGGACATTGGAACTATGACATGTATGAAAGCTGGTCAATTTTGGGTAACCAGAAGCGGCTCCCCTGTTTTCCTTATTTAAATAATTGAAATGATTTTCTTTACTTCTTATGGCACAGGAAAATTTAACCACAAACAACCTACCAGATGCCAACTACCAACCAAATAAAGGACTTTCATGTCAGATTACTGACAAAGCAAATCGTAAGGTCCAACACTTTTACAATAGATCAGAACATTTTATACAAAATGGATTCTTGTAATCATCCATTAGTATTTGGAGTTCAAACCATACAAGTAAAAGGAGAGAAGGAACTATGGACAAATTGATCATAATCGACAATTCAAGAGCCTTGCTTAGTAGATACTTCGACAGTTGTTTTATTAGAAAAAATTCCCAAATTAAGGGAGGAAAATCACATCATTATAATCCTCAATTTCAATCAACCCTAATAACACCACATGAATTCACACATAATAAGAGGACAGACTCGGGCACAGTTTATCCAACTTAACCTCTAAAATTACAAACCACCAATATTCCAGAGCATCAGCAGAAGAAATCCAATCAGTTTTTCTTTATTCATTTTCAACTCTAGTAACAAAACCGCAGAGTAGAAGTGTGGTCGGTATTGATTACAGCACAGCACATGATCTTAAAGTGCTCCTTTTCAGAATTTTTTTTTTTTTTTTTAACAACTGCTTTAACTCAGTTTCAAAGATGAAGATCCATATGAACAAATTAAACAAGATCCCAGTTCACAGAATATATAATATGAATGTTTAACACAGCAGCAACTAGTGCTATAAATTCTAGTTTGATTTCTTATCAGTCACAGTCATAGGCACAGAAGAGAGGAAACTAATACTTATCCACGTCAATCCAATTTTAACTCTTCATAACAAAACCAGCAGCAGAATAAGATAAAAAAAAAAAAAAAAAAAAAGATGTTTTGCATTTGCAGATAACAAGGAACACAGTGCAAGCAGTTACGCACAAGCTTCACTCCACTCCATTGACCACCAAGCAAACCGAATCGTATGGAACACCAAAAACCAGATCACACATTCACTGATGACAAGCATTGAAAATTACTAACTACATTAATTCTAAAAACTTTTGTGTTATTCTCATTGTAGTTCTCCTAAATGACTGAATTTGACAAACCAAAGATGAGAAAAAAGTTTCTTTGCTTGGTTAGGAAGAATTTGACTTCATTTTTTTCCAATTTTTACTTTCATTTCAATGGCTTATAAGTTACAGAACTGAATGAAAACAACTTAGTATACAAAAGAAAAAACTGAAAATGGATCGCACAAAAGTTATGCACTAACAAAATGTAAAAAATTTCCAACTTGTGGCAAATTACAATTCAGATAAACAATTTAAGACTTTCTACACTGAACCATCTAATGAACAGATTGATGAGGAGTTCACCAACCACACAATTATTCTCATGTACAACATACCATTAAAAATTAAAAAGAAAAAACTATTCCACCAAAACCTAATCCCTTTTTTTTTTACATAAACACCTATCCATTAACAAAATATAAACCATTAAGCACAAAATGTAAAAAAGAAATTTTATTTCTTTTTCTCTTCAACAAAGAAAACCCAACTCACCTCCATTGGGCCATCACCGCATAGAAGGGTTTCCACTTAACGTTTGAATCAAATTATTAGCATTTCTCCTAAGCTTCTCATTATCATTATCATCTTCCACCAACCTCATACACATCTCTAAAACCCCTTCTCTTCTCGCTTCCACACATATTTCTTCACTATAACAACACAAAAAATTCAATGTAAAAAGAGAACACTGAACCGCTCTTGAACTCCCATTTTTTATCATCCCAACTAGAACACCCACACACCCTTTAACTCTCATCATCTCCTCTCTTCCTTCTTTACATTTCGCTAAAATACTCAACACATCTACGGCCCTCTCAAGCCCAGACTCAGCTATCCGCATCAAAATCACCACCGCCCCACAATTAACAACCCGTTTTCGGTTATCAGGAAATGAAGATAAAGCGTACAAAGCAGTGGCCGCTTCTTTCTTCTCTCTGATTAGTTTCCCGTTCTGTAAAAGCCAAACTAATGATTTTATCGCCAATGGGTAGTCTCCAATCGTCGCTTTGTTCACTTCTACCACAGCTAGGCTCGTTATTATAGTCGCTGCTATGGCCCGGCAATCGGGCGACCCGACCCGTAACGCGGTCACAACCCGACCGATTGCCCCTTCAGCAACGATACCGACTTTATTGTCATCGTCGAGAGATAAATTGAGTAGCAAAGAAAGCGCTTTCTCTTGAAGAGTAAAATCATTGGAGTCAAAATTGAGACAGTTTAAAACGGCCGAAACGGCACCCGAGTCGGCGAGTTTCCTTCGAGAAGTTGAGTCACGTTTCGACAGCTCGGCGAGTTGAGAGAGGGAGTCGAGTTTGGAGTGGAGAGGAGAGGATTTGGATGTGAGAATGGAAATTAGGGTGTGAGGGTTGGGATTGGCGTAGTTGGATTGTGATTTGGGGAGAGGAGTATGGGTAAAATTGGAGATTAAAGATCTGAGAGCGTGGTTAGGGATAAGCGAAGGTTGGTCAGGGAGAGGCAGTTTCGTAATTGGACAGGTACGGTGACCGGAGTCTAGCCAACGTTGAATGGAAACACGGTCAAATGTATGACCCGATGATAAAATAACCGGGTCAGACATGATTTCTAGAGAAATCGGACACTTGAAATCATCAGGGAACTGAGTTGCCATTTTTTTTCAACTCGATCACAACTCAGTTTCCAGAGGGTTTATGAGGTTTTGCGAGGCGGAGGTGTTGGTGTTGGTGAGGAGAATTCGAGTTTCATCTGTCAAGTAATTCAGGACCCCTTGCTTTGTGAAGCTAAGCTAGCATATAACTTACTAATTGACTCAAATGTCCTTGTCGTTGATTGTGATTTGCATATCATATTAAGAAGGGCATTTTGGTCACTTAATAATGATTTCGTATATGATAATTAAAGGCGTGATTACCAAAAAAATCCAAATCATATATTTGTATTTGTCTCCTTTATATAATTTTTTTTATTATCACATTTTACAAAACTTGAAAATTAACTTATTAAAGAGTATGAAACCACATTTTCCTCCCCGAAGCAACTCAACATACTAAAATGATGAGTGTTTCTGCATAGATGAATATTGTCGGTTACTTTTGCCAGAAATAAGGAGGGTTACTTTTCAAAGACGAGTAAAGTCATCATTCCCTCCACCTTTTTCATTAAATCACAAGAAAAGCCATGTTTCTATTGACTATACCCTCTAAGGGTGTTTTTGTAAACTCACTTGTGTCATCCATCATAAATTATGTAACGGTTCGTTTAATGATGCAGAGTTGGAGAGAGTGTGGCAAACGTAATGGTTTTGCTGTCACGAGGATAAGTCTACAGTTACGGAGTAACAGAATCACGGGCATCTTTTTCGCTAAGTGAAATTACTATACTGCTCTTCAGGGAAACAATGGTGACTGTTAAGTCAACTATCCGAAGTCCCAATTGGTGTGCCCACCAGTTGCTACGTGTTTTTTAATTTTTATTTTTAATAAATACGAAATAACATAAGAAAAGTAATTCACGTTTTCTAGAAAAGAACAATAACAACTTTACCTAAATTCTACAAGAAACCTATAAACCCCCTGAGGTACGGATAATAACAATAATACTAACCTCACTAATTCCTCTCACTAATCTCTCTTACTAACCCCATATGGGAGTTTATGATTGGTTTAGTTAGACAGAACCCATGTGAATTGACGAATTATGAACTGACATGTGGCGTTAGTGAGAGAAAGTTAATAAAAAGTGTTAGTGAGTGTAGTGTTACTCGAGTAATAATGCAGAACCCCCTACCGACTACCGTTAGTCACTTGTTAATTCTACTGTCAAGGAGGGCAAAAAAGTAAACTGACCCTAAATTTATACTTATTAATAATTAATAAAAAAAGAGGCAAAATAGTAAAATTATTAAACATTTATAATAATTAATAATTACTAAAAATAATAAAATTTATAAATTTTATATAGCTTTTTTCCTTCCCACTGCCACCTCTTCATTGATGAACTCCCACCGCCTTCTCCCCAAACAGCTCCCACCTTCGACTATAGCTTTCAAAGGCTGTGGTTGCAGCGGCCCTGAAAGGCTACCTCCGCGAATTCAAGCACCCCTTACTAGCCTTGCCACTTCGCCCCTCACCTTTATCACAACAGCCATAGCCATACCAATCACCTTCCCTCACATCGCCCTTCCCTCAGCACTGCTTTGGCTGCTTGAGTTGTTTTCTCAAGACAGATGTTGATGTTGTATTTGGTGAAGATTATGTGCTTTGTGACGTGTAGCTCCTGTGAAATTCTAGTTTTGAGATGGGTATATTTTGTTTTAGGATATTATGTAAACCCCTCGACGTTTATCTTATACATCTAAACCTCTTGTGATAGCAGGTATAGTAAAACTTCTCTATAGCGATACTCTATATAGGAATAAACTCTACATAGTCATAAAAAAATCTAATCTCAATTTAGGATAGTTATAAATAAGAATAAACTCTACATTGTAATAAGTTATAATTTTTCTAATTCCCGTCTTAAGGAAAGTTGCTTCTACATAGTAATAATTATATGTATATTACAGAAAAGAATATATTATGTAAAATTAAAGGTTTAAAATGAAATAAAATATTTATTTAAAATTGTTTGGGACAATGATTTATGTTTTAGACTTGTTACCACATCTTTTACCTTACGAGTACGTAATAGCTCATTAGCATGGATACCTTATTGTTGAAGCCAAAATATTTTTAGTTTCTCAAGCATGTTTAGAGCTTTATGGTACAAGACTTTTTGTATTTTCATACTATTATCCTTAGGATTATTTCCTTTCTCTTTTTGTCTAATTGCAACAATGATTTTTCCTTTAGTTAAAATATACACGATTTGTTGTTCATTTAGATAATCGAAAAAGACATTAATATCCATTCGATCAATGTAGTGAATTTGTCGAATCTAATCACTCAATTCTATAGTGACTCTTTTATTCTCCTCATCCACTTTATTTGTAACTTTCAATTCATTGACATTAGTGGTCCTTATTTTGTAGCGCTTAAAACCATTGACAATTACCTGTAGTTTCACATCAATTGACCATACATCAACTATATTTACAGTTCCATCAATGACACTTACTTTTGCTAGTTCTAAGAAACGATCTTTTATCCGTTTCAAAAGTAGGCAATTGAAACGTTGTATTGAAATTCTAATATTACTAAAATATGAATTGAAATCCTAATATTGTACTACTAAAACATGAATTATAAAATAAGAAATCAAAACTATAATTTTTGTAACTACACTTCCATTAAGTTATAACCTCTTTATAGTAATAAAATTAGTTAGTCCCAACATTATAACTATAGAGAGGTTTTCCTGTATAACCCTACCCCTCGCCGTTACCCAAACGTTATTAACCCTCACATCTGACATAGGAAGTGGTACTAAAGATCAATATTGCCCTTTCTTAATAATAAATGATATAAAGTTTTTTTTTTTAAAAAAAATAATAATAATATAAAAGCAATTAATTTCTGCAACACAAATCTCAACCATCAAACCCTCAATCAGCAACAAACCTACAGCCCAATTCTCCACCATCAAAGCCCAAATCAAACAATCAAAACAACAAACCTTAAAAACCCAAGTCAAACCATAAAGATAATAGAAGAAAATCCATAAGCAAAAGGAGTGAGAAGATTGAAGTAGGAGGTTGGTAAGGAAATCCTAAACGGTGGTCGAAAAAACCAAAACAGTGGTCCAGGTCGCCATAACTAGTGTTGAAATTCAATCTAGTCGAGTATCTAGTTAATCGAATTTGACTTGAGCGCTATAGTACCGAATTTGAGTTCAAGTTCGAGCTTAACCGAGCCTGAGGAATCGAGTTCGAACTCGAACTCTGATACTTGAAATTGGAATTCGAGTTCATAAAATTGAGTTTTATTCGAGTTTCATTATTCGAGCTTTAATCAAGTTTTAGAGATAAATTCGAACTTAACATAATGTCATAAAGCTAACATATTACAATATCAAACCCACAAATTTATTTAAAAGAATCAGAACAACATCTGCTTTGCAACCCACAAAAAATAAATTTAAATTTACCACTTCAAACCCAAACCAACCTTTCTCTTCTCCAAATCATAAATCACTTCAAACCCAAATAATCGATTTAAGGCAACAAACACAATGCAAAAACTTAGGGATTTCAGTTTCACAGTACTTGAGAGTTTGAGAGGTTGGGAGGAGATGAAGCAAGATAACAATCAGCGAATCGAAGTTGCGATTCAGTCTTCAAAGTTAAACAATGAAGGAGAGAAAGAGATAAATTCAAAATAGGTATCCTATTTTCTTATTTCCAAATCATGTTTTACATTATTTGAATAGGGGTGAATTTGCAAATTTTACAACTTATAAATTTTGTTGACCTCTCATGTGTTTTGATATGTAAAAAGTATCCAAAAAGTTGATTGAACACTAACCATAACATGCTAAGGTATGACATAAGTCGTAACCAAACCAAAACAAGTTTATTAGGTGGTATGGTCGTGCATGAGCAAATTTCAGCTTAGGTACGACTGTGCCATAAAAGAAAGTTGTCGTGAAATATCGCATGACATTGTTCCTCTTGGTCATTAGTCTCTCTGCCAAGCTAAGTGGCATTCGCACGACTAGACTGCTCAAGCATGACCATCCTACACGACTGTGCGCTCAAGTTCAAAAGTCAAGATATTTGAAATTCATATGACTTCGTGCTCTTGACTTCATCTCAAAGGTCAAAGTCAAAACTCAAAGTTCTAAATTGGAACGACCGTTCCTTATGGTGGAATGACCATTTGTATCTAAAGAAGTTTTGCACGACATCATTCCAAAAGGTCGTTCACTCCTTTGGAAATTTAAGAAGAGTTGGAAGAGCATCTGGATGTGATCGTTCCGCATGGTGGAATGATTATGCAATGTCCTTACACGATCATACGATGTGGTGGAATGATCATTCTAGTTAACCTAGATATAAGAAAAATGACCATTGTGTCAAGGACAATTGTTTGAGATTATGGAACGACTATTCCTCTGGGTTCTACAGACTTTATCAGAACTGCATTAAATACTGCAATGGCTAAACTTTTAAGAGTTATAAAAGCGTGACATTTTTAGGGAAAAAGAGAGAGAAAAGTCATACTAAATCAGAATACATTCTCATATAAACCTTAGAGCTCAAGATGCAAATCAAATACTCTCACTTGTACTCATTTTGTGAACCTTTGAGAGTTCACTTGTTCTTATTGTGTGTATAAACCTACATTGAAGAGGCAATCATTCACAAACAACTTTGATTCATCCCTTAGTGGCGAAATCCTATAAAACTAGGTGCAATCCTATAAGTCTAAGTGTATAAGGTGAAAATCCTTGTGAAAACTATTGTAGTAGTGAAACCCGATTCTAGTGGAACTTCGAGGAGGTTGTCTTGAAGAAGTGAATATAGGAGGCTTGTGGATATAGCTCCGAACCACTATAAATCCTTGAGCATTTCTCTCTCTCTCTCAAGTCTTTATTATTCATTGCATAGTTGTTGGTTGAACATCATTCATCTCACTTGTTCATGCATTTATTGCTTACAAGTTGATTGCATTAATTGCTCTCCTTTGATTTCATTTATTGCTTATTTGCATTATCTTTAACTCTCTCATACTTAGGTTGTTGAGTTTAGTCATTGAACATTGTTTTGATAAACTCA